TATATATATATATATATATATGTATTCATGTCCATCTATCCGTTGGTGTAATGCCTGTTGTAAACATTCCCCTGGCCACAAAAATTCAGGTAACAACTTCAAGTTTGATAAAAACATTGGAACTTCTTGCACGCAGGTTTGTATTGAAAATCGATCAAATCCAATTCTGGAACACCAATTTTTGTCACTTTTCTATACGTTTCTTTCACAAATAAGATGAGCAATTTCGATGAATAAGGTCACTGCGAGTTCGTGGTTTATTGGAATAAGCTAATGCTCTAGCAAAACTCCAAAGTAAAATGTCTAAAATAGTTCTGTCGCATGATTTTTATGGCAAGCGCATAAAGCATTTTTGAAGATAGCGTGGTCGTTGAACTTCCCTTATAATAAATTGTCACAAATTATACGACGTGCTAAAACACTTTGTTAAAACCATATATCGTCCAAACCGAAATCATCCAATTTATACTATCTTTCTGTAGCGTTCTCCATTAAAGGTAACTGCAATGCCATTTTCATGTTCAAAAATGAGATATTCAGCCCATAAGCCACATTTAAAAGTAATTGTCGTATACGCAAAAGTCCTTTAGGCACACAAGATGTCATTTCTTTACACCGGAAAGGAACAATAAACCTTGTTTACGAAATCATGCAACTAGATATGGGTTTCGTCTCACATACACACGTAATCGTGAGTTTATTATATTCATAAGAATCTTTAATAATTTCGGCACGCTGTACAACTGGGTACGTATTGTATTCCAAAATAAAGGCAAAGTCCAAAAAATATAATGAAAGAAAATTCTAATCCAAATCTCAATCGGAAGTGTGCTTGTTACGGTTTGCTCGACCGTGACTCGCCAAGAAGTGCGTCCGCAATGAGAACAAACTGTGACTTGCGATTGGGAAATCTGACACAAGCATCTTCTTAAGATTAAAATTAATTAAAAAGTAGGCGTGACTCAGCAGAAAACACGACCAAAGTTCTCGAAATGCGAAACCCACTCCCATATTTCTCCTATAAGATTCATTTCTGACATCCTATTATCCATTTAAGTGAAACTATTATACAATTGTAATTGTAATCGTGGGAATGAAATATTCGTTCTATAATGAATATCGTTTTCTTCCTTATTAGCTTGGCATAATTTCAATTTCAAACTATTCTCTACAACCTTAGGTCCCCTTTTTCAAATTTACTTTTAATACTAGTTTGGTATAATCTCTTATCAAAACTCGTTAAGATGCTTATATATGTCTAAATATGACATGTATGTGATATATAATAAATTACTGGAAACATTTTGTGCTCATATTACGTGAATTAATTAAAAATGATGTGAATTTGTAATAAGCAAATTTTTTTCACATCAACATGTGCGATATATATCGAACCAGTTTTCATTTTTCGTTAACTTTTGCAAAACTAGTAGACTCTCAAAGAACTTGAAAAAAAAACTAAAAACTTTTTAGGTAAACTCGCTGATTGTATGTTGTAAACAAGATCATGATTTTTTTAAACAAAATTATTGTGAATGATAAGACCCACCTTCGTCTATCTGACTACATAAACAAGCAAATGTGATGCATTTGTGGTTGCGAAAATCTACGAAAAATAGTCGAATCGTCTTTCTAACCATAACGGTATAGACAATGCGATTTTTCGTCTGGATACGCAATTGATTAATGGTCTGTTTCGAAATTGCTGGTTTGCGAGTGAAGCGATGAATGAACGCATTACCTAATGATGTTTAGCCACCTCTCTGGCTTTAAACTGATGCTTTGAAGGCGGACGATGTTTATTTGCAGCAACACGACGCCACTTGCTAATCAGGTCATGAAACAATTTCTGTATTGTGAACGATATCGAATTGTATTTGAAAATCCTATTTACATTATCTAATAACGAAAGTTTGAAAAGTATTTGATAAACGCATGAGAAAAGTTCCAATTATAAGTTCCGTAAAAAGAGGCGGAAATGCCCCATTAGCCGGAAGTTAACTTTTGAAATTTCGTTTCGCTTTCAAACGGTAAATGATATCCGATTAATGAAAATGATTTTAATTTTTAAGTTTCAAGATTATTTCAGTACATTAGATAGTTTGCAATCAATATAATTAAAATGAAATATTATATGTAAGGATGTTATATATAAATGTCAGCATTATATACAAAAATTATTGTACATAATATCAATAAAATTGTAATTAATTCTATATATGTATATAAGTGTTATAATTAATTAATTGTAGTAATTATAACTTGCTTGGAAGTAAGTCTTCTTCTTTTTTCAAATGAAAATCGAATATTTTACATATTACATGAAAGAAAGATGTATAAGTGAAAAATTTTATTATTTTTGCCCTACACCCACTCCAAATTTGTGCAGACATGTATACCATGAAGCCCTTGTGATCGACCTATCGTTTATTATATCAAACTTTTATTAACAAACATTTGCTGAATAGATCTTGCTAGGCATGCTCGTCACAGATTTTCGAGATAGTTTTTCCTGAAATTTAGTTGACACTGACTGATTTGGGCTCTACTGTTTTTACGACAGCTGTACGCCTACTAAAAAATGCTTTCATCTAAGGAAAGGAAATTACAATTTTTAATATTCGTTAAAGTGTAGAATTTCGGAACGCACTCTCTCGTGTAAATGTTCTCACAAAAAATAAGCTTTTGTATGAAAACAAGATCTAACTTTTAGTATTTCATGCTAAAAATTAGACCAGAATAGGAATTTGGCCCATAGATTTGCTCATAGGTCTACTTTTGGGGCGTCTTCCCATATAAGAATTCTCATAAGAAACAGGCCTTCATATGGCAACAAGAATTTTTGGTATTTATTACGAAAAGCGATGAGGGGAAATAATTGACAAAACATTAAACTATACCAAGATTGGTCAGTCCAGGCCCTCCCCGGCGTATTAGAGTACCTATTGTATCCAATCCATTTACTTGGCAAATTTGTATGATTTTTTGCTAATTTATGACAAAAATAATTAAAGCATTTTTATTAGGCAAATTAATAATAGTCAGCCCTACCACTTAATAAGATTTGTTTTACTATCAGTTTACGTAACCACGAGCATTCAGACAACAAGCGGGCAGACAAAGTCGGAGAAGTGATCAATAGGATAGAGATACGTAATTTTCAAGACCTTGCGTACCGTAAAGAATGTATGTTTTGACAAGATTTAACAGTGTAGGTCCCTCCTTCCGTCCATTTTTCATTCTCTACTGCGATCTACAATCATCGAAATTGTTATAGAAAAGTAAAAAATAATCTCGTAAAAAAACAAATAATCCGTCCAGATGTGCAGAAAAATCCTTTAAGAACCAAAAATTTGTATATTACAACAAATGTGCGATAAAAACGAATAGACTTTGAACAGATAAAGTAAAAGCTCCTTATTCGCGCTTCCTTCGTTCGCGTTCTCACTATTCGCGGATTAGAGAAAAATGTTAAAAAATTCCTATATTCGCGGCTATAAATTTCCTTATTCGCCGATCTAATAACTACAAACGTAATAATAAAAGGATTCCAATAGGTATCCAATGACCATTCCGTGTTCACGGTTTCTGTATTCGCGGCACATATTCCCCTGCGAATAAAGAACTTTTACTGTAATTAGCAGTGCGTTGAATGAAAATGGAAAATTTCCTTTCCCGACTATATCGTTCTTAACTATGGTAAGTAATTAAAAGGATTTTCTAAGGAAATTGAGAATACAGTTAAACATATTATTTGTATAATCACGTACACTTATCCGCTTAATTCTCTAACGGTGAATGTTTTATTAAATGAAAGAGGAAATCGTTTAACTTCATTCTCTGCTCTAGTTCGCAATTAGTATTCAAGTAACATTTTCCTGTAAATTATTCATTTAAATTTAGTTACGGCATCACTTACTTTTCAATATTGGTTTTCCTATTTGCTCTGCTACGACAACGTCAAAGGACTTATTTCACACGTTTAACTTTACTAAAAAGTTTTCTTTTTGCACACAATTTACGAGTACATGTGTATGCAGTTAATATATTCAACCACAAAAAACACGTTTTACAAACAATCACAGACACCTACACTAACATATCGTTACACATCAACACGTCGAGAGCTTAAAATAAAATTAATATTAAAATACAAAAACATTCATAAGGCGACAAACACAAAAAAAAAAGAAAAATTGAAAATTCTGTATTGTGTAGTTAATTAGGGCGCATTTTCCTTATGTAAAATCTTGTGTAAAAAAAAAAAAAAAGGATAATTTTACTTTTCACTGTGTATTATTTTTTTTCTCAGTTATTTCAATGTGTTTATTTTAAATTTTCATTTTTTTTTTTTTTTTTTTTTTTTTTTTGAATAAATTTACATTCCTATTTTGTGTTTTAGTTTAAGTAAAAACTTTATATTCCTTTTGTGGTGATTTTTGCGCCTTTATCGACTGTTCATGACCACTGCTCAGATGAAACTGAAATGTTGGCGAGATATTCTGGAGATAAAACCCCCTGGAAAAGTGTTTTTAAAACGTACATGTACACGTTCTATATACAACAGGATAGTTAGTTAAGTTAACCTATTGTATGAGTAAAGGAGTGAAACGATGTGAAAAACAAACATCGTGAGAGGACGGGAGAATATTGTACAAGTGAGTAAATAAAATATAAATAGAGCAAATTGTAAAAGTTTAGGATTGCCAAGAGTCAGTTTTTCTCAACAATATATTTTCACGTTCATCCTAAAGATTTCAGATAGACTAAATTTGTCCTTCCCTTAGGCATATCCAAAGAAATTCATTGGTAGGTCTGTATACAAGTAAGTTACGAACTTGAATTTTTCTTCTATGCGATCTTAATTAATGGATTAGATCAAATTTGAAAATGGTCCATTAGTCCGTAAGAGTTGAAAAAATGCAATTTGTTACGTATTTCACATATCAGTGTCAAAGAGAGAATAAATATTTCTGGGAAAAATAATGCCAGAGATACTGATACGACCACGGACCCTAAAACCTAAAACCTCTGCCGCCTATATATATACATATATGCATTTGTGTGATAGAGTATCGGATTAAAGAATCGCGATAAGGTGACTAACTTTTTTACTTACATACAACTACTTGCAAACTTAAATAGGCGTAGGGCAATCTAAGAACTCGTATAGATAAGACAAGATTAGAATTTGCTTCGGCAGTCTTCATCGTGTTGTTCACGGAAATGAGATTATGAATTACTGTAATTACGTTTGTCTGTTTACGGTTTGGTGCCGACTGGTTTTCGATCCCAAAAATTGCGATAGAAAACTTAAATTTGGCGTACATGCCCTTGATCTTGACTAAAGGTCAAAAATGAAATTCGGAAATCGTTGCCATTTAGAACCAATAGCATATACTGATCTTATTTCCGAACAAATTTTTTTTTTAAATTCGTTGCTAAAATAATCAATCAAGTCTACGATGAACGAAATGTTTTACTTCGCGTATACATTACTTTGCACTGGTTGGTACGAACAATTTACTAACAGTGCAATCAATATAATTTCAGAGAAGGCATATGATTGTGTGAAGAGGATTTTCTAGTTTGAAAATATGATTTTCATAATTAGTTGATATAAAGCGTCTGAAATTCGACCAAAAAAAGACAAAATATATAATAAGGTCTCTCTTGTTCTCTTTCATTGTCTCTTTTATTGTTTCACCGATTTTTCCTGTTTCCACAAATGCACAAATACATATGCAGTCTGTTTCATAAAAAAAATTCAACAAACAAATACCGCCACCTGAGGCTATTTGACCCAGTATACAATAATACAAAAGATATTTAAAAAGAAAACATTACATATACATATGTATATAAGGACGAGCAAAAAATTATTTCAATTGAAGTTTCCTTTCCTGGGGGATGTTTACTCATTTTCTTCAAATTATTGCATAAGAAAAACGTGCTTCTGACTAACTTGTTGAAGCTTCCTACTACAAAAGACGCAAATGAAAAGCAGGAGAACAAATGCCAATAAAAGAAAGTCTTACCTGGGAAGGCAGACACTAAGAGAATTATGATAAACTAATCTTAAGCATTCTTTCTCTTCTTTTTTTTTTTTGTCGTTTTTCTAAGCACCAACACAACAGTGGCAGACAACCTAGTTAAGGCAAAAAGTTTACTTCGTTTTGTTTTAAGAAAAGTGGCGGCAGATTTTTACTTTAAATACACGTGTAAAGAAACGCAAACATACATGTGTGTGTAGATGAAATTTTTTTTATATATTATTATGCATGAAATAAAATGACTCTCCGGAGAATGAATAAAATTCAAAAAGAGCAACATGTTGATTTTCTGTTAATATGTAACTATAAGATATGCATACACATACACTTGGCGAAATCATCGATGATGAACGGTTACTGATGGTTTAAATGGATGACGATGGTGGTCTTCGATAAAGGACTTTATCCTTGAAAGCTCTTTCAGGAATATTAAAACTAGTTGCTCTCAAGTAGAAGACTAAAAAGAGAAAGAATTGTGGAATGCATACGTACGGTATGCAAAAAAAAACGCAACTGTGATCGACATCTACGTTTGTATAAATACTTTGAAATATTGAAAAATTGTATAAGTTTCCCAGAAAAAAAATGCAGAAGTAGTAACATAGACGACTGAATAAAAGTGTCGACTTGAAAATAGTATTAGGTTGGGGGAAAACAAATTCACTATTTTTTCGGTAGATGACTGTAGTGATCGGTATTTCCTAAGGTAATGATTACACGATTTCATACTTATGCTCATTAGAAAAGTGACATTTCGCACTACAAAAATCTTTTGCGGTTTTTGAATTGGTCTGTTCTGCTGTTCATTGCGTGGGACTGGAAGCGAGTCATTTATTATGAGTTGCCTCCACATGGCCAAACATTAAATTCGGATCTCTACTATCCCTGGACCGATTGACCAGAAACGGCCAGAATTGGCCAACAGCGGAGTTTCTCCAGGTTCCAACAGACCATGCAGGTGTCTAAAGAGACTCGTCAGAAACTCCGAAACCATGGTTGGAAAGTTTGGATGCATCCATCATATTGACCGGCAAAATTTCCTTAGTGATAAGAAATTGGACATCGAGAGAAGATGGTGAAAATCGCTAACTAGAGTTTTCGTCGACAGGGACCATCTCTATAAGAAAGATATTACGATGCTACCTTTAAAATGGCCACAAATTATAGAATGTAACGGTGCATATTTGACCTAAATCCGAAGCATGTGATATAAAGCCTTGAAGTTCACGTAAAAATAATGGCTTTCTTTTTCCCTAACCTAATATCTTTGAGCATTAGGCAACAGTAGAATTTATCTAGCTCAAGTGTATACAGCATAGTTTTCTTTATAAGTTCCAATAGATCGAGTGGTGCGCCAAAAAATCCATTTAAGAGAAGCATGGATTGCTTAATTCAAAGGATAGTGGGGGTGAATTATAACAGGTGACGATACATTGACGATAAGGATATGCGGGGTAAGATCGAATAGGTGTGTCGTTTTATGAGTGACTCAAAAGAATGTAAATCATGACTAGAAAAGGCTTTCAACAACAACTAATACAATTGAGCCCAATATGCCAAAGGTCAAGACATCATGCTTTGTGAGCATAATGACTTTTGGGTCCAAAGTAGCATAAGACTTACACAACTCCGATATCTAATTAGCTATTCCATCATACTCACGAGACATTACCTTCGCTGCTTACCATACTTTTAATTCAATGATTTATTGTTTCTGCAAACAGGGCTCCCTTTCTTAAAACGATATACACAAAATGGGCCCTTTTCTGTGTAGAGGCACAACTTGAATAAAAAAAGTGGGTAAAAACTGTTCCACAGTCCAAAATTCTATATTTATTAATTAAATAATATGATATTATGAAAATATCGAGATTGAATCGTTAATAAGGAATTAATTAGTGAGATTAACCGCAGCGGAGACACTTTTTTATATGAACATAACGCTGCCGCCCGCCATAATTCATTTAGTTATCACAGTTTTCTTGTGCCATTCAGTCTTTAGTAATTATTTTGCAGCATGTATAACAACGCCGTGTAACGGAGCATGCCTTCTTATGCGAAATCGACTGGTGTCCATTGATTTGGAAGATGCGAATGCCAGCGATGATCATCACCTTCATTATTTTATAGTGTCGCTGTGTCACGACACCTCCATTAACAGATATTAATTATTCAAGATGAAATACAGTAAGTGTTATGCTGTTGGTTAGTGGCTTAAACTTGCAGTCGCTTTATCAAAAAAAAAAAAAAAAAAAAAAAAAAAACGCTTCAATGTGATGGATTTCTATTTTTATTGCTCGTCACACAGAGTGTTGACGCCAACGTATTTTTGCAGATGCAATAAGCCATTGGGGTAATATGAAAACCAACACAACCGTATTGTAGTGGACTTCCAGTCAACACGATGATGTGGATTTTTATATTATCCGTCATGGCCATTTAAGACTGAAAATTGTAGCCCTTATATTTTATATGACTGCTTTAGCAAGGCAAGGCATGTCTTTTCTTTCTTGATGAAATGCCACGAACAGGGGTTTAAACTGCAAGTGGTATGGTGCGACCGCTTTTTCACACTGACAGAAGATAGCAAATCGAATGTGGTTTTAATCATAACAGAGAAACGAAAACCGGGAAAATGCAATCATATATGGCTTTAATGCATTGCCTTAAGCTAGATATTGACTGGAAGGAGAAAGCGATTGTTGCCGCTAACAACATTCTTCGACCTTCAGAACTCCTTTAAACGTTGTAATTACTAAATTTGGTTTCAAAAATAGAATCTTAAGGTAAATATATTCCATCCTCTTACTCAATCCGCATTGATAAAAATTAACATTAAAATCAACTCTGTTTCAGTTGATATTTCTTGCATTGCTTAACAATAACGCTTCTTTATGAATATATCTCCGATATTTTAGTAAAATTAAAAATTTATTAATTTCAAAAAAAAATTATGAAACGTATAAAGCGGCGGTTTAGGTTCTTGCAAACGACTCTGAGCGGATTGAACAGCTCATAATTAAATTTACACTGATTAAGCTTAACCAAGATAAAGTGCCTAGAGAAGCGGTTAGCGACATTAAAGCTTATTTCACCAAGTAATGAAGGCGAGTCAATAGCACCATTTATTACTTTAATTAGAAAGGAAACGCCAAGAACAAATCTACGTTTCTCAAGAGACGGTAGGGACAGCAGAAGCAACCTATTTTCATAAGGAG